AACAGCAGGATGGTGGTGGCTCTTGTACCAAGCAGCAGCTAGTCGCTGATGCAGCTTTGGCACGGTGGGTTCGGGCCATTATGTTCCTACTGTGTTAGCAGGCAGTGGATTCGCATTTAATTGAGGTGGTGCAGTGTGTCAGCGGACAGGAACATTAGTTTTAGTCAAACAGTCCAGTTTAACACCAGAGCCATTCAACAGTAGCAGGATTATTGGTAAATTAAATATTGACCAGTCAGTATCCAACAATAACTGCATGAAAATTTTGTCAGGTGTCAGTTTGGAAAAAAAAATGGAATTTGCTCATTTTATCTGGATATTTGGTACGGTTCCTTCTTTAAAAGATGATATAATTCAAGTGATGGTCATTTTCATATGCTAAAATGACCAGATTGAAAGATATGAAATATGACATCAAGTTTGAACAAGATATCGTTGGATAAAGTCTTCAAACACAATACGCAGGGTTTCAGACACTACTGTGGTGCAGGGCTGATGTTATAGGATACATGGAGGTAGATAAAAGCTGATTAACTCTGTGGGCCGTACCTCATTTGATTTTAGTGTGGCGCGTTGGCTGCGTGTTTGAAAATAAAAAAGAGTTGTTTTTATATTTGACAAGGACTTCTTGTACAGTTCAGAGTGAGCAACGCTTCTGCAGTTTCTCTGCTGTAAATGGTCTGTTGCACTCTGCTAAGGTGACCCTTACGCCACGAGCCCCAGAGTCCATCTCTCTGTGTTGTAACATCTTCTTATGTGTTCTTTGGTGATCAATGTGTATGGTGCAGGGCTGTGTTGGAGGTCAGGAAAATGACATCCTAAATAGCAAACATGCTGGTCTACATGTTTTCCATTGATATTTCTAACAAGGGCATGTACCATTTGTTTCCCCCTAACTTTGATTTATTGGGCACATGGACCAAAATGTAGGCTGTAGCGACAGTTGAGGTACTATTTCTAATGCATGGCAATCTGAGGGTTAGCCAGACCACATCTGGAGGTGAAGGTGGGTCACATGACTGGCCAGGGTTGATGAGCTAGTGCTAGTGCTTCTCTGCTGTGACTGATGATCTTCTTAACTAAGATTACTCAGTTAGCAAGGTGACTGAAAAGTGGTCCATTCATTCTTTTGGTCTACTTCTGTCTGTCATGCTTTACACATGATAGTTCTTCAAGAATATCCCAGATTGCTCAGCCTGACATGTGATTCATAATGGTAGTTGCAAGTTTACCAGCTTCCTCTATGTATATTTTGTAGGGTATATGTAGATCAGATTTCATCTTTAGAACCGAGATAATGTGAATCCTTAGCATTTTCATAGCAAGGGCATATGTAAAGGACCCAGGATTAGACGTATAACACAGACAGGTTTGCTTCACTTTTGGAGTTGCATTTTCAGTTTTCACAGGGAAATTGGATGGAGAGAACAGTCAAACAAAAAACCTTATGGAACTAATTCAACTTTGTCTTTCCACGGCAAAGTTCAGTCAGGGCCCACCTCTTCATGCAGGCCAGGGCACGGCATGGTACAGTATGCTGTAACTTGCCCTGGTTCAGTTGAACTCAGGCACGGCATGTATAGTGTGATTGTTAACCATGCCCAGCCACTGAACTCGAATGCTAAGTGCAGTGCCAGACCACTTCTCCTCAGATGCATTATCATGATCAAAGATTTTTATTGTCAATTCACCATATGTACAGGACATACAAAAAAATCAAAATACCGTTTCTCTCTCACCTACCATACCATGCCATAGCATACCATACCATATGATGCCATACCATCATGGTGACATAAGCATGCTCTGGGCTGGATGCGCAGAATGAGCTAGGGTTGCAATGGTATGAGATTTTCACAGTAAGATAACCTTCTCAGAAAATATCAGTTTCACCCTATTACAGAGTTAGTTGTTTTTTTTTTTAAATCAGCTACAGCAACTCTCAGAAGAATGAAAACAAAGGTTTTTTTTTATTGCAAGTGACCGTGCCAGATGATTGAGCTGGACTGCAATGCTGCGGTCATGGCCAAAAATACTGGCACCGCTGCATTTCTGTCACATAAGGCACCACTTCTCCCAGAAAATTGTTGCAATCGCAAATTCTTTGGTATTCTCATGTTTGTTTCTCTTGTTTGCATTGGAACAACACAAAAAAGCTAAATCTGATCCATTCCACACAGAACTCCAAAAATGGACTGGACAGAATTATTGACACCTTTTCAAAATGATCAGAAATAGTTGTATTTCCAGCCTGTGATGCTCCTTTAATTTGTAATGAAACTCACCTGTAGCAATCAACAGGTGCTGGCAACATAGAAATCCCACTTGTAACTAGTTAAAATGGAGAAAAGTCGACTCAACCTTTGTGTCATGTGGACCACACTGAGCATGGAGAAAAGAAAGAAGAGCAAAGAATTGTCTGAGGATCAGAGAACCACATAGTGGGAAAGCCTGGACAGTCTCAAGGCTCCAAGTCCATCTCCAGAGATCTGGCTGTTCCTGTGTCCACTGTGGGCAACACTGTCTAGACGTTTACAGCCCATAGTGCTGTAGCTAATCTCCCTGGACGTGGACAAAAGAGGAAAATAGATGGCAGACTGCAAGGAAGGATTGTTTGAGTGGTGGATAAAGAACCTTGATCAACATCCAAATAAATTCAAGCAGGACAATGACCCAAAGCAGATTTCAAACAGCACCAGAATTGGTTTCAGACAATGAGCTGGAGAGTTCTGAAGCTGCCAGCAATGAGTCCAGATAGAGCTCCTGTGGAGAGATCTCAGAGCAGCAGCTGGGAGAAGGAACCCTTCAAATCTGAGAGACCTGGCAAAAGAAGAGTGGTCCAGAATTCCAGTAGAGAGGTGGAAGAAACTCAGTGATGGTTACAGGAAGTGACTGATTTCAGTTATTTTGTCCAAAGGGTGTG